GTATAGATAGTACTTTTTATTTTTTTTTTGTCATTTTATCCTTAGGATCATTATTGTTCAAATGTAGTATTGGTTCATTTATGTAACCCTTGGAGATGTCACATAAAACCAAATCCAAAATCTCGAACAAATTGTGAAGATAATCAAAAAAACAAAAAAAGGTTTTATTTATGATTTCTCATACCAATGACCATGAATAAACCTTGTGGCTTATTGACCATAGATGTACTACCCACATGGCTAAAGATATAAATCTTTTTGGTTAAATTAACAAATATATACATTCTATGGTCGTTCTTGAACATGGTGAGACAATGTTCGCTAAAGGTATTGTTTGATAAAATATCATTACATATCAATGGGTCAAACCTAATAATTATATGAGGTCATTCTATATATATTTTAGGAAAGTGATTTAGGAATTTTAGAAATAAAGATATTTACCTATCTTATATAGAAATGATTCCCTAATTTAAGAATAAAGATACCTAACTATTTTAGTAAAAGATTTAAATATTTTAGGAATAAATTGTTAGATATTTAGTAATAAATTGCATACTATAAATACCAAGCAGTCTCAAGTAGCAAAGTGTAGTAGTATTCTATGTCTTGTAATCTCTTCTCCATTGGTCTTAATAAAAAGTGTGAGTGTTTCCCACAAAGAGTTGTGTGCAACAATATGGTATCAGAGTGAAATTGGTATAGGTTATTTGATTTCTTGAAATTCTTATTATGCTCTATGGTTGTTGCTCTGTCTGATTTCCACGTCAGAAACGATTTCTTGAGATTATTAGTGAGTGAGTTTCTTTGTGTCTTGAATAGTTCGTGACTTTGCAAGTTTTGTGTAAAAAAGGCTTGTTTGGTATTATTCAGGTATTGCAAACACGATGAGTGATTTCTAAATTTTTTGAGTAATTAAGAAACTCAACAATAACAAGAACACAAGGGCAACATGTATGATGTTCTATTTACAAAGATAGAACCTTTGGGAGATCATTGGCGGGAGTGAAACTACACTGTTAGAGAAGAATTCTAATGGTGCCTTGCGCAAATGAAGAATCAAAGCCGGTAAAACGATGTTTGCCTTGAAGATCACAATCGAAGAAGAGATTTTAAAGCATATTTGGGATGACAAGACACCGAAAGATGCATGAGACAAATTCATGATGATGTTCTCAAAGAGGAACGATACGAGACTACAACTTCTGGAGAACTAGCTATTATCAATTTCACAATGTGACATGACGATTGCTCAAGCCCGATCTGTCAAGAGATTACTGAACTAGATCCAAAGTCTATCATTGGAGAAGCTCGAATGAAAATGATCATTATCCATAGATGCGACCAGAATCTAGAAGCTTTGTTATTATTGTACAAAGATGGCATGCTCAACCATTAATGGTAGAGTTTGAAAATTTGTTAGCCAACTAAGAAATTATGATTAAACAAATGAGAGACATCACATTAAAGGGTGAAGAAGAATCATGTTGTACAAGTGAAAGACAAAGCAACAATAATCCTTCTACCAAATGTGGATACAGAAATTGTGACAAAAAAATAAATCACCAAGGATCTACACAACCTTAGAGAGCTCACAAGAACAACATCAAGAGTATTCAACAGAAGAGATTTGAAGATATTTGCTACAATTGTGGGAAGAAGGGCCACATGTGGAGGATGAGATGCAGAGTTACTATGTGCCATAAAAAAAGACGAGCTAACACTCATGGCGATGACGAGAGTGATGATGTTAATATAACACATGCGGAAGCAATTTAGATCTTAGGCACTTTTAGACATCAATTATAGTAAATAACTAGCATGTTCATGAGTATTAAAACTTAATGAGTTTGAATACTAACCTTTTGTAGTTCGAATTCCTTTTTCCTCACGAACCGGTTTCGAACCACCACTAGTGTCTTCTCCACTATCCTCCAGCCTTAGAACGGGATTGTAAAATCCGGTGAGTAACTAAACTTGGGAGGAATTTTGTATATATGGAGAGAGGTTTTTCTCAAGGTTTTTCACCAAGAAGATCTTCCATGTACTATGATCACTCTATTTATAGAGTTATGTTTACATATTCATGCAAGGTTGAGATCACCAAATTTTGACACTCAAAATTCCACTCAAATGTTTGGGATTATGTGTCAAGCATGCAAGTTTGAGTTCAACAAATTTTGACACTCAAAATTCCACTAAAATTTGTGGGGTTTATTTGTCAAGCATGGAAGTTTGGTTAAACCAAATTTTGACCCCTCAAAATTCTACTAACATGAATTTTTCCATTAAATGAAGTCAACATTTTGATTTTCTTCATTTTAATTCAACAATTAATTTGAATAATTAATTTCAAATTAAAGTAATATTAAATAATTAATTAAACTATTTAATTAATATTTAATATTAATTCAAATGTCAATCCCAATCAATTCGGACACATATTTGATTAAGATATTTAAATATCTTAGATTCTCTTTTTTTATTTAATCCGTAAATAAAACAAAAATGCGGTTAAATATATCGTATATATGTAGCGCATATTTCTTAATTTGAATTCGAACACTTTGAACTCACTCGTCACACTGTTCTATAGTTTAGTTCGATATGAGCTAGCAGAGGGACCTAATGGACCTATATATCATGGGCTCCAATGATCCAAGATTAACCGGTTAAACTCATTAACCTTGTTAACCAATATTCGTTAACTACTAGGACACTCCACTACAGTCTAGTAGTTGCACTCCCCTCACTATAGATATATTTCGGTCCATTTGATATAACCATGATTAGTAAGTCGATCCTTCACAGGTTGTTTGTAACTAGAGCTTGGTCGATTTACCGTTTTACCCCTGAAGTTACTTCTTGTTCCTTCCCATTGATCATCTTATGAACAATTAGTTTGTGGTCCAACCAGTAAACCGAATCCCTCTCAGGCCAATAAGAGGGTGGTGCCCCTTGTTCAAGACCTGGAGTCAGTGCTTAAGGGAACTACCTCTCTTCTATCCCTAAAAGTGGGTATGAGCGAATTTCATCTTGCACCCCACGTCCCCAGCTATTCACCCAGTCTTACCCCTGAAATGGGAGGCCTATTGAGTCGGCAAACTCGAGCCACTCTCACCCATGCAAATCTAAGGATAATTTCGAATAAACAGAAGTTCATGGTTAGCTCAGGATTAAGATCGAGTTACCTAGGTTATCGAATGAAAAGAAAATCAGTCTCAACAGTAAACGACATTATAAAGTGAGAGTGGTTTTCTTCATTGTTCGACCTTATGCAATACTCATTGCATAGGATGCCCCCACTCACATGTCTTCACATGTACAATTTAGTGACCACATTGTTTATATCATATACAAAAGTGGGCCGCATCCATAGTGTCCCCAGAATAAGATACTCAGTCTTATCTTTATACTATAGATCATTTTGACTATATACTTGAACTTGATCCACTCTTATGTCTCTACATATAGTTCAAGTAATCAAACTATAGCCAGAGTGTTCTTAGTTTATTGGATTTAGATTAATGATCGTAAAGTTCACTTTATTCAGTAACAATCTTTACTGAATAAACAACAATAATAACTTTATTGAAAATAGAATATGTTTTTGTTTACAAACTATGAGTTTTAGGATAGAAAACCCAACAGAGAGAGCATATCAATTACGAGAATGACTAGATCATTAATTCAGGATTCTCAAACCACATGACTGACGATCAGAGTCGCACGATGGAAGTAGGGTGATCCTGGAAGAAAGTATTACTATACTTAGACAACATTTAAGAAATTCTACCACAAAAGGCGAATGAGCAAACTGTACACATTTGTTTAAGTGTTCCACGTGACACTGATCTTGGTGAGCAAAAAGTGACTCAACAGAGCGAACCTAGTGAAAAACAAATGGCACCTCAACAACTAGATGATCAGAAAAAATACAAAAGTCAAACCAACTATTATAAAAGACGAAGTTAAAGAATCAGAGACGTATGAGGAAGCATCACAAAATACAGCTTGGCAGCAGGCAATGGAGGAAGAAATATAGCCTTTGAGCATAATCAAACTTGGGAACTAGTGCCAAGACCAAGAGATATCAAATTCATCTCTTGCAAGTGGGTTTACAAAATAATGTCTCTTGAATAGATCAATCGAGAGATACAAGGCTTGGACTGTAGCTCCAAGGTTCTCTCAACAATATGGACTATATTATGATGAAATGTTGGTCCAATGGCGAAGATCACTATCGTACCAGTTGCTCCAACACTTATAGTAAATAAATATTAGAAATTGTGGCAGATGAATATGAAGAATGTTTTCTTGCATTGAGAGTTGGACCGGGAGATCTACATGAACCAACCAAATGAAGTTGGAGTCATCAGTCAGTATATGCAAAGCCTGAAAAAGCCTCATTTGGATGCGGCTCGACAGATCTTGCGATATGTCTAAAGTACAATCGATTATGGTCTTTTGTACAAAAGAAGTGACGAATGCAAGCTAGCTGGATACTATGATGCTGACTATGAAAAAGACCACGATACTCGAAGATCAATCACTAGGTATGTGTTCAAGCTCAATTCGAGAACAATTTCTTGGTGCAGCAAAAGACAAACAAAAATATCATTGTCAACTACAAAAGCGGAGTACAGAGCAGTGGCTGGAGCAACTCAAGAAAGTACATAACTGAAACTCTTAACGGAGGATTTGCACTAGAAAACGGACTATCCAATACTATTTCATTGAGATTTTGTGTTAGAACAAAGAATGTCATGAACACTAAGCGAACATAAAATATCCAATGTTTTACTCAATTGTGGCATAACAAATTATGCGATTATGTTTACAGGTGCTTGAAAGTTACAACTAGCTGTGTAAGTATGTTAATAGCCGTCACAATATGTCCAAAGTACAGTGCAACATTCTTGGCTTATATGCCAGGCAACCTAAGAGGGTTCAAGACAAAATTCATCAACTTTTCACAAAAGGTTCTTAGGGGAGGGCTCTCTTGTCAAAAAAACAATGACTAAAAGTAGCTCATTTGTGGGTTTGCCGAACAAGTTCTATACTTTAATATCAACTTTCATGAAGCCATTAAGATCAAACATCTTGCAATATATATCTATATCAAGAAGGTTAATAATAATCAGCTGAAACCATTAAGATCAAACATCTTGCAAGTATTAGACGCAGCATGATCATTATCACTAAGCTGATCCTCTCCAGCATTCAAGTCCATTCTATATCTAAACGCCCCCTCCACTTTCTCCTTTTCCACTCCCTCCTTTCTTGTACTCCCAAATCTTTGTCCCTCGGATGGTGAATACCCATTATACCCTTCCCCCTTCTCCCCTTGCACCAACCCCATGCCCATGGACAGCCCATGAAGCTGGTCCGCAGCGGAGGAGCCTCTGTCGGTGGCGATGGCATAGGGTTGGAGGGCCAAGTGGCTGTTTTGCTGATCCTTGGAGGCCTCGCAGGAAGTCAAGCAACTGTCCATGGAGCAGTCAGGGGGCTGGGTTTGTTGAGGACATAGCCTTTGGGGTTGGTTTTGTTGTTGTTGTTGTTGGTGGTGGTGGAGCTCTGGAAAGGCTGCAGTTAGGCATTGAGTGGACACTTTGGAGACCAATTCTGAGAGCTGCACTTTGGCAGCTTCAAGTCCCACTGTCCCTAAATTCTGTCTTCCTAATGTTTCTTGTGCTTTCTCCAACACTGTTTGGAGATACTTCCCTTGTGCTTCTATTCGTAGCTGCAAATGCCTTTGTACCTCGAGTTGTTCGTGTAGCCTTTTCTGCACTTCAATTTGCATTTGTATTGTTTCACTGATTTGAAGACTTCTGGAGAAGAAGGGAGTATTGTTATAAATCATGTTTTATGCACTAAATTTGCTCTATTTTTGTCTTAAGGTGGCCTACTTGTTTGGCTGGGAGGAGGCCTGTGGGGCGACGGCTATGCTGTTGTTAGTGCGACCTGCTCCATTTGCCTCACCCAATCTCTGGTCTACAGAAACAGCCACCGTTCCTACACGCCAACCCATACCTATTTTACCATAAACATCAGGTCCAAACAAATAACCAACAACTTGGGGAGAGAGCTTCACTTTTCAATTCTCTACATACATCTCAAAGATAAAGTACAATCCATTTCCTAAAATTTCTCTTACCTTTCCTAAACTTTTTAAGCAACTACTCGTAAATCTTTTTCATTAAAGACAACTACTCGTAAATCTTTCTCATTAAAGATAACAATTTCTCTTAAAAAAAGTAGGAGGATCCGAACAAAATTGATGAAACTAAAGAGATCCTAGTGAATGGAAAGGAAAAAAACAACGGATGAATTCCAAGACACCTTATCAAAAGATAAAAAGACTAAACTTCTTATCCTCTAAATGAAAATAAAGAATATTACAAAATATTGATAGATTTAGATTTAGGTAATTTAGACACCTAAGAAAAAAAGTTGAAAAACCGAGACTATTCTTTTTCAAACTTATTTAAATCAATAACTACTAAAATTGCTCTAAATTATTAACTTCTTTTGCTTTAATTAATTACCAGTTTTATTATTGGTTCCACTTCCACCATTTGCTTGTCCATGCATGTTCTTGCTCAGCCTGTATTTCTGCATCCCAGCAACCAATCGTTATACAAAACGTCACGATATCGTTAAATCATGACTCGATTCAAAAGCTTAAACGGATGTATACCTGAAGATGGCTCTTCAAATGGTACAAAGTAAGTCCAGAAATGCCCATAATTTTCATCACGGTTTTAGGAGTGGCCTCTACAAAGATAGAAGTCAAGAACTTAAAATCATAATAATAGTAATAGAATTAAAGATGCAATGAAATTCTCACTGTCAGGCCCTCCAAGTTGATTGACTGCTTCAACAAAACGGTCATGCAAATCAGGAGTCCATTTAAGCCTGGGTTTAGCGTCGGTGGAAAGAACAAGACCTGAATCTCCTCCAGGCCCATTCCCACCTTGTAAGAACAAATGCCTCTCAGAGGAGTGGATGCTTTTCCCTCTATGTTGATGATGATGGTACATTCTGCACTCATACAATTCAACGTTAACATCACATTATAAACAAACATGGACCCATATTGGGTATGAACTCGATTGTTCGCAAAGAAATAAGCACGATTTTTTAAAACTAAATAGTTATCAAATGGATTACCTGAGTTTAGGGTATGGATTGGAGAGTTGTTGTGTTGTGTGGTGTGGTGTGTTGAGAGAGATCAAAGGGATGGGGGGAGAGAGGAGGGCTTATAAAGCGATGGGGCAAAGGAATATAATCTTACAACACACAAAAACACACAAAAAGAAGGGGAAAAAAAGGGCATTTGAAATATGGTTACACAAACAGCTGAGGCCTTTCATTTGGTGCCAGAATCTATCCCATTTGAGAAAGCAAGCAAGCAAGATTGGAATTAGAATTGGAATTGGAATTGGAATTGGAAATGGAAATGGAATCTCATTCTAAGCATTAGGACAAGGGAGCTTTGTGGGTTTTTTTTTTATTTTTTATTTTTATTAGGGTTTAGGGAATCCGCCACGGTCCCTTTCGCCCTTCAAACCCCCTTCCTTCAATCCAAGATTCTTCTCGATTGGAATTTGTCCACGATCGAAATATGTCGAAACAAATAATTAAAACGGAAGAACAACTTGAAGGAAGATCGAAATATATCGAAACAAATAACTGAAAGTACAAGAACAACTTGAGAGAACTGAGTTTTTTTAATAGAGGAACCTTAAACATTTAAATCAATTTTTCTTTATGAAAGTTTAGGAAATTGATTATGCAATTTCCACTATAAAGGATCCCACATCGATTGGGAAGAGAATGAAACATCCTTAAAGGTGTGCAAGCATCTCTCTAATAGACGCGTTTTAAAATTCTTGAGAATAAGCTCGAAAGGAAAAGCACAAAATCTCTCCATTTCTGTCCTGCCTTTCCCTTCTTTGTGTTGTCACTGCCCATATATATACATAAACTCAATCATTACTATAAACACTATCAATACACTCCCATAACCTTAATTAAAGGTCATACAACTTTTTTTATAATACACATCCGGCAAGTTGTAAAGAAAAAGTTAAGAATAATCTTTTTGCACTTAAACCCATTTAAGAGAAAGCAATTCTATCATTGATCTTAAATCACCCCAAGATTATAAACTAGGATATTGCATGAATCAAAATTCGAACGGTACCTCCTACTATGTTACATAGTCGCTCGTAGATAGAAAGCTTAAGCTTATAGATTATGATAAACATGAATCATCGAACATCTAGGTTTAGAGATGCATGTGTCACTCGAACACGAAGCGATGAAAGTGAAGATCAGACGGCGGTCGTTCGAGAATTTGGAAGAAGATTCGGAAGAAGACCAAAAGCACCCAAAATTGGGAGTGTAAGATTAGACATAGAGATAGAAAGGGAGGAAGGAAGGAATATGGAACAAAGGAATAGGTTCTGAATTGTCTGCTTCAGTAAGTTTGGTACTTATTCAGCTCAAAAAGAAGAAGTAGAAGAAGAAGAGGAGGAGGAAGAAGAAGAAGAAGAAGAAGAGAAAAATAGTTGAAAATGGGAGCAAAAACAGGAAGGCGGCCCCGTGGAATCCAAAGGCAGCAAATGCAACAAGGCACAAGTGGGACCTTACCCAATGAACTCTTTTGTTACAATTCATACTCATGGCTTGCTTGGCCGGCTTTCCATATTCGCACCTTACCTTTTCATTTTCTTCTTCTTTTTCTCTATGAATCTATACATACATGCACTCTAAAACAAATATATATATTACTATATTACTATATTATTTTTTATTATAGGATATGATATAATATAATAACCCAATATTCTAATGAATAAGGTTCTAATTTTTTGAGTCGGGAATTAAACGCAATCTTTGTAGCTAAATATGCCTATCTATCGCCAAAACTAAATTTTGGTAATGGGATGGTGAAAATTTGAGGACAGACATGAAATTTGTATCAATTAATTATTTTCATATTATATATTTATATTATATTATGCGGTATAGTTAGAGAATATATTTTTCATATGGAGCTAAGTTTGGAGGAATCTAAGAATTTTTGGCTTTAAGAGTTGAAAAGCAAGGAATTCCTGAACAGTAAGGTGGTGGCATGTGGATAGGGAATATATACACTAAAAAAGGTTCAAGGATTTTGTGCCCTTTTCCCAACTTACTTCTTTTACTTCTTATTTCTTCACGTCCATTTCAAATTACTTAACTTAAACCCTAACCCGAATCCAATTCCTAACCTTTCATTCTCTACATCATCTTAAACGCTAATGCAAACCCTAATCTGTCATTCTTCGTATTGCCTTAAACTCTAATGCGAACTCTAATCTGTCATCTTAAACCCTAATCATAATTCAACTGGCTTAACCAAATCCCTCGATCCGAAACTCGAATCTCTCGAACTCTATACAAAAAAATAATAATAAAACAAGAAACATCGCCATAGAGCATGCGCCGGGGGCAAAATCGAGAAAGTAAGTAAGAAATCACCACGGAATGGTATTCGTTGAGGAAAAAAAAAGTTAAAAATAATGTTTTATAAAGGAAAAAAAAATTATATTCCTTCCATGTTAAAGAGAATGAGAACATGAGAATCCGTATGAACTTCACACCAAAAGATGATATATATTATATAGAAATGGCATATGTTTTATAGGGTCAGATTCTGTAAGTCAAGAACTAATATATTCTTCTTTCGTGAATGCCACAAAAAATGGGTTCCCAGTTCCCACACACCTTTTTTCCCACCATTCTTTTCTTTTTATTTATACAATTTTGTTAATTAATGATTGATATATTAATTAATTAACAATTAACTTACCCATTTTTTTTTTATATATTATATGGTTGCATTTTCTGAAACTCCCAACCGAGTCAACATGTCCTTTTCAGGCATATATTCACCTACCATTTTCATATATTAGTTGGCAACCAAAATGATCGCCATCAGAATATATTTCTTATAATATGTATCTATGAAAGAAAATTATATTCTTGTCTTGACTTAATAATATGCATCATGCAATCATAGTTTGAATGTACATTTATTTCTTAAATTCCAACTACATATAATTATATCGTTTCTCACAATAACATTTGACTATATTCTATACTTGGCTTTAAAACTATATTATAAATGGGTAGTCATTTTTTCAATTTGATTTCCATTTTTTGAACTATACCAATGTTATCTAGATTAATGGTTATATCCATGATGTATAGTATGTTTTTTTTAATGAGTATTGATATAGTACTGATACATTGATGATGTAGATGATGTGCTACAGTTTTCTTAACCTAATTAGTAATGTCATCTCATGGTTTTGCAAAAATTCATGATAAATATTTTTAGAATAAAGTCATGGATTTATACATGCGATGGATTTATACATTCAATTCAACATACGAAATTAAACAAAACATAGTTTTTAATATAAAATAAACGGCTTTAAAAACACTTAATCCACTACTAAATTGAAATTCAATACATTGTTCTATCAAGCTCTATTTTGACTTTCATGGCTTTTCCCGCGTTCACCTTCTTCCATGCATGAGAGCTTTACCTTTACCTGAAAAATATAAAGCTAGCACGTGACTTGAGTATTTTATGAAATACTCTATAAGTCACCCCACTGTTAAGATTGCACGTACATGAGATCTATCTTTTAAAACTGTAACATGACCTTAGGCTTTTTCCAGTTTCAGACAGGGTTAGATGTATGATACTTCTCCACACACGACCCACGTATGTGCATATGGACCCACCAAGCGGGCTCGTATACGTACCCTCTAGATCTAACTTGGTTAGGCACAACACATTACACATCACCAGACGCCTTAGAAAAGGAAAGGCACACATGATATCATGGTGAACATAAATATCGAACGTACGCGTCTGTACTAGCATAACATAACTTGGAAGTATCTTGATGCACAAGATATACATACATGCATGAGGTCCCATGATTTCGTAACATAACATAACATTTATTTCATTCCTTTCTCTTTTCCTCCCTAACATATTTCATATATGCATCATGTATACATGAAAAACATCATGCATGGTAAGACGTAACATTTCATACCTGGCATTTCATTATATTTAAATATAGTGTACTTGATATTACATGCGTACATGACATACCTCACATCACAATATAAAAGACATATAAGGATCACATAATATAGTGTACTTGATATTGCATGCGTACATGACATACAGTCACGTGCCAGACGCGTGGGAGGAAAGGAAAATGTGCGGGATGTCAGGTCACAACTTGGGTCGTTGGGTTGCGTGTAGGGGCCGTAGAAAGTTGGGGCAAGACAGATGGGGCGAAACAGATGCGGACTGGCTTTCCTGTGGGCTGGGGTGTGGACAGTAAAGAACTTGGGTTGGAAATTGCATGCGGTCAGGTCATGGATGGAACTGGAGTATGAATATCCGACCCGGAAATGCAGAGTGGAACCCTCGATTTTTCCTTTCTTATCCACGGCTTACCTTTAAGAACTGAATTAAACAGACAGGATATATGCACCCTTCATTCCTTCTAACAAAATGTGGGCAATCCTTCTCTTCTCTGAGTGCGTACGAAAAATTTGAAAGGATTTGATGCTCTATAGACCCTTAATTGGTTAAAAAACAATATAATCCTAAATCCTAACCTAAACCCTAAACCTATGCCTCTTACCCCATACCTTAGAGCGAACCACTATTATATTTGCACTAAAAATCTAGAGGCACTGTATGCCTGGGGAAAAAGTTTGAAATACATTTTCACTCCAAAAGAATTAAATATGAGGCAATGGAAGTGGCTAGAATGGGTGAATGATTATGATATAGACACATAGTACTATCCTTTTTGAAGGCAAATGTGGTTGTTGATGCCTTTAGCAGCCCACTCATCATCTATGATTACTAAACAACCACTAATGCAAGCTAACTTTGAACAAGTAGAGATAATAGTGTTGGTTAAAGGGGTTGAGGCGCAAGTGGTCCAACTTAAAGTCTCACCTACTCTAAGATATCAAATTATAGATTCCCAATAGAGGATCTCAACTTAGCAAGGATTACAAGTCAACTCACGTTAAGACCTATTGGCAGATTTTTCCAATCTGCAAATGGTGGAAAATCTGCAAATGGTGGACTTTTGTGTAAAGGATGACTATGCATACCGATAGGTACAGAACTGAGGAAAGAGATATTAGCAAAGACAACTCACCATTTTTCATGCACCTAAATGATATTAAGATGTACCAGGATTTGTAACGATACTTCTAAAGGCACTACGGTAGAGGACAACAAGGTTATTACATCTCCACTAAAGTGTT